TCCTCTCTTTCTCTGACCCTCCACCTTACCAAACATGACATCCTTTTCCAGCAACTGTTCCCTCCTGACAATATGTCCAAAGTATGAGAGACGACGCTTAGCCATCCTGGCCTCCAAGGAGCTCTCTGGCTGCACTTCTTCCAATACAGGGTCTCTGTGAGTGAGTCGGAATCGACTTGGCAGCACTTATCAACAGTTGTTGCAGAAGCACACTGCCATATCTTTCTCCTTCACAGCAGCTGATGGGTTCAAACTGCTGACCTTCCAGCTAGCAACCAAGTGTTTAACCACTGCGCCACCAGGGTGCATTCAGTCCCTGCCAGATGCTAGTAAAACAGCTAGCAGGAGGCTGGCGGAGGGGTTGTGGCTTCAGCAGCCCAGCCCAGGGGAGGCCTCTCCCCTGTGCTGGCTCCCTCTCTGCCCCCAATGTGGCAAAGACTCTCCATCTGCACCCTTGCTGCTCAAAGGGTGGTTCATGGAACAGCAGCAGCCGCCGCCGCAGCACAGCACAACTGAATCACTTTGTGTTTGCACGTTCCAGTGTGAGAAACCCTGGGGGAATTGATTCCTACTCAAGGCTACTCTTTAGGATTGAATAGGACTACCCTGGAGGGTTTCAAGGCTGTCATCTTGACAGGGGAAGCCATGGTAGCAAGGTGGGTAAAGCACCTGGATGCTAGTAGAAAGGTCTGTGGTTCGAATCCACTAAGTGCTCCACAGGAGAAAGTAAAGATGCACAGCTTCAGAAGCCCTTTGGAGCCGTTCTGTTCCCTCCTATAGAGTCACTCTGATTCAGCACCAACTCAATGGCACTGGGTTCGTGCACTGGGAGCAGCACACCAGGTCTAGTTTCCTGTGGTGCTCAAATCACAAACCTTACAGTTAGCAGCCAAGCAACCTCTAAGCCACCGTACACCTTAGGAAATATAACTCCTGCCCCTACTCAGGGCCAGACACTGTCGGCCTTCGTCCGTTACTTTTCTTTCCTTTTCTTAATGTTTTATTGTGAATTATGTGCTAGTTTACATGGGAGAACATTCGTTTTACATTCATCCTATAGTATATCATTTCATTGCTATGGTTACAATTCCCTCCATGCATCATCAACCATCCAAAGGGTATACACTATAAGCATGCCCCCCGGTCATCAGCACACAGCCGCTCTCCCGCTCTGTGTCTAAAGTCCCCAACAGCTCCATCTCTCCACGACATTGTCTCTGCCTCCATCTCAGGCATCACTGCTTCTCTGGTAGGGTCCCGCTCTCCGCTCTTCTCCATTGGCCTCTCAGGGACCTCCGCTCTTAGGCTGAAAAGTTAATCACTGCTTCTCTGGTAGGGTCCTGCTCTCCGCTCTTCTCCATTGACTTCCCAGGGACCTCCGCTCTTAGGCTGAAAAGTTAATCACTCCCTTCCTTGCTAGAAAATGTCTACCTTTACAATTCCATCCCTCACAAACAGTCCAGATAACAATTATTCACTATTATATCATAAGAGATCCATCTGGATTTCATTTCATCAGCCCCGCCTAGACGTTGTATACTACTCAGTGGAGATTCTGCCTTCCTCCATGCCCTATGAATCTAGCTTCCCTCTTGAAAGCTTATAAGCCAGTCACTTCTTGCCTTTGTAGCCTCCCCCATTTTGGGTAGCCAATGTCTAAATTACCCATCCCTGTCTACTCTGTGTATGGAGGAGGTGGGAATGATCCTTGCTGTAAGGATTTGTTTCCTCTTTTGAGCTACTGCATCCATAGGTGTAGGTCAAGTTCATCAAATTGTATCAGATTATGCTTTTTTCCCTCTTCTTTCTTCTTCTGGTTGAGCTCTGATCATCTAGTCATTGTAGCCAGGTCAAGTGGATATTATCTGCAAATGTAGGTGTTCTTGTGCATATGCCCTCTCTTTTTAGTCCTCTGTGGCTATGTCACTGACTCTGGGCCCAAGAGACCCCAGGTCTTGCCACACTGCTGGCCAACACAGGTTCACAGAAGTCTATTGAACATTATAGGGCTTAGCTCGCTGCTTCATTGCTGTTTTTCCCTCACTTCCCCTTATCGGTGACAAGCGTAGTCACCAATCAGCGCATGTAGTCCCATTGAGTCTTAGTCTTAGAATGGGGTTTGCATTGAGGGGTCCCTACCACTTGCCTTGATGTTTCCTGGGCAAGCAACTTGCTTGTTCTTGTAGTAACAGTCAGTCTGCCTCTATTGTTTTGTATTTTTCCTGTAGGTCTTTCTTTCAAGAAGTATCTTCTGTTCTTCTAGCCACTCCAGGCTGGTCTGCTTGTCCTTTCAAGTGGATATTTCCCATCTCTGGAGATCTGGATGTGGTTCAGGCTTCCACCTATAGTCTTATGTATTGCAGCGGCTCCGCAGGAAGCCTCCTTCACTGGGCACATTGTAGCCTCATTTTAGGTATTCCAATCAGTTATAAGCAGAAGACGGACTTACAAGCTTTCTATGGTGATGTTTCTGGCTATTCCTTTCTCTCCCCCTCTAGTGTCTATTTTATAAAATAATGCAAGGAAAACCAAGATTCAAAAGACAGCCAAGCATCTTAACATTATTCACCCCTTTCCCCCATCCCAACCATGGCTCAGTTTCTGTATCCCAGGACCCTGTTGTTCTTTCCACTACTTTTCGAATCCTGGGCAACTACTGAATCTCAGAATCAACATGCTTACCCAGTGATTACCAGGCCCACAGCCAAAAACCCCAACCCACAAATTATTTTCAAATCTCTTGACTTTTTAATGAATATAATGCCTTATGAGGTTGATAGACTGTAACTTTTTCAAACATTTTATCTGATATTCAAGGAGCCCTGAAAGCACAGCTTGTAAGTGCTCAACTGTTGGCCATGAGGTTGTCAGTTCAAATCCAACAGTTGCTGTGCTGGAAAAAGGTGTGGCAGTCTGTGTCCGTTAAGATTTTCAGTCTTGGAAACCCTATGGGGCAGTTTTGTTCTATCCTTGCTATGAGTCAGAATCAACGATGGTGAGTTTGTTTTGGTATCTAACATTTATTCATTTAAAATTTAAACAAATACATATATATATATATATATATATATATATTCATACAGATTGAGCAGTTGCCCTGTGCTGGTGCCCTACGTCCATTATGTCCTTTAATGTGCCCTCCTGCCCTGTGAGATAGAGTACCAGCCCCCCTTAACAAGAGTATGAGACTAGATCAGAGAGGTCAGGTAACTTGTGAAAGGTCACACAGCAAGTGGAGTGGAATTGGAGGCCCTAATGTTGGAGACTATTGGTCCTCTGGCTGCTCTTGCTGTTGTTGGTGTTCCCCTGGGGTGGGGATGGGGAGCCGTCTCCACAGTGGAACCCTTCCTCTGGGAAAGCTCCAGGTGGGCAATCTGCCACCAGCACCTCTGTCAGAGGAACTAAGAACAACTCTCTCTCTTCCACAGGAAGAGAATTTTCATTATACATTCATAAGAAATTGCCCTCCCAGAAGTCAGTCCTCAGCAAGAAATCCCAGGGCACTCAGGTGAGTGAGGAGGCACAAAGCCAGACCCCAGGAGCCACACTAGCTCCAGAAATCCAGGGCTTATCAGTGCCACACCACTGCCCCTCCACAGCCACACCTGGCTGGGCAGTGGATGAGGGAAGGCTGCCAGGAGAGGCGGGAATGCACAAGGCGGCAGCAGCGGCGGCGCAGGGGTATGTTTTCTTCTCAGTTACTCCTCACTCTGCAAGCCCGAGCTTTCTCCTCCCCTTGTTGCTCCCTCTGCCTGCCTCACACACCCATCACTTCTCCCCAGTCCTCTCCCACCACTACTCTCTGGGACCCCTTCAGTCTTCTAAAAATACACATTGAATCACACCATGCCATCACCTCCTCCGGACCTTGCTCTAGTCCCTCCCTTTCTCCAAACAAACAAAAAAAGACCTGCCAGTCTCAGAAGGCTTCCTGCAGTTGGCCTGTGAGGCCCAGCTTTACCTGGCCCCATCCTGGTCCACCTCCCTGCCTCTGGGCTCCCACCACAGCCATCTTCCTTGAATGCCCCTCACTCCCTCTGCTACACGGCCTCTGTGCCTGCTCTCTGTCCCTCACCACGACCATAGTCACTGTCAGCAGCTCATCCAAGTTCAGAGCGGTCACACTGGTACCTTGCAATCTGCCAAATGCTACAAATCGGATGGGTTTTTCATTTGTTTTTGTTTTTCATTTCCCCTGGAAAGCAGGAAAACATGAATGGGTGTGGTCTGGCAATAAAAGTCCTGTCTTGGCCTCCCCAGAAGGCAGCACAGACTCAGTTGGGCGAGGAGAGCACTTGATTCCTAGCTACTGGCCTCACAGGTCCCTTGGAAGACCATAGTCCCCTTTCTCCTGGGCTCCCCATGGCAGCCAGAGTGTCTTGCACAGACTATGTCAGATGAGGCCATTCCCTCTGCAGACCGGAAGAGCTTCTCCAATGCACTCAGAATGCACCAGACCCTTTCCCCTGACACCACCGACCAACAGCTCTCTCCTCTGCCACCTCGCATCCTCTCTGCCTTGACACCAGACACCAGCCCACGGGCCTCCCTTCCACCTCTCCTGCAAGCCAAGCTTATGCCCTGCACGCCTCTGCCTTGTCCAAAGCCTGCACTGCTCAGGGTTCCCAAGGGGATGGCTGCCTCCCTCTTACCCTGCAGATACCAGTTTCTCCATCATTGCCACCGCGGGGGCAGGGGTGGGGGACTGGAGGGAAGTCCTGATTCCCCAGACATTCTTTATCACGCTACCTACATTCATACTCTCTAGAGTGCTTCTCATTAATGCGCTCAGTGGCCAACCGAAACTGAAAGGTTGTCGGTTCCGGCCATCTGCCATTGTAACCCCTAGGAAGCACAGTTCTTCTATTCCGATCCACATGGGGTTACCAAGGCCACACCTACTGGCTTTATCATAAGCGCTCACCAGGGTCTGCTGTTGTTCCTGTGGGATTTAGGTCTCTGTTTAGTGCTTGGACCTCTCTCTGAAAAGACCTAGCACATAGAACCCACCTGCTGTCAGCGAGTCAAATTTGACTCATAGCGAATCTGACTACGGTTTCCAGGGCTGTGAGCAGAAAGACTCATCTTTCTCCTGCAGAGTGGCTGGTGGGTTGCGGCTAGCATTTCTGTGCGTATCCCATGGCACATAGAATGCTCCCTAGCACATCGAAGGTATTCAGTAAAGATTTCTCGACATCATGAATGAGATTATCCATGTACATAGACCCTCATCCCTGTCTGTGCTCAGCATGCCACGGGACCGCCTCCAATTAGTACTGACAGGATACTGACAGAATTGGCACCGCAGAAGGGGAGCTGTCACTCAGAGGCGAAGATCAAAATATTATTCAATGTTTTCATACTGCCTGTCACAACTGCCTGGAACAAATGCATGGCCTTACTACTGAAATGCATGCAATATTCTGACAGTTATTTCAACAGCCCCACTAAGAGATTCTATTTTCTATCTCAGAAGTGGAAATAATCAAAAACTTTGGAGCCAGGAAAACCACTAAAGTTGTAATGGGCAGCGTAGGACAGAGAGAGTAATAGAATTCTGTGGAGAGCATGAAGTCTTTGCTTTGGTAGCAGACACATTCCTCCAGCTATTCAGTGAAACAGTTGGCTGTCTTCAAAATGGGCTTGTTTTCAATGGCAACAGACTGTAAGAGTCTACAATTCATGGAACTGAGTTGCAATTACTTTAAGTGTCTGACCTACTGTCTGCCTTTCTCTTGTTTAAGTGTTTGGGAATTCACATGTTGTTAAGTGCCATTGAGTTGGTTCTGACCCATGGCTGGTAGATTTGAACCGCTGACCTTGCAGTTCAAACTGACCTTATGGTCCAGTGCATTATCCTACAGTGCCACACCAGGACTCCAGGGATTCACATAGTGTGAATGAAAAAAATAATACCTAACTGTATATCGTCTTCTGCTGTGAGGCCCAGATATGAATTAGGGATTTTGCTTAGAGCCATAATCAACACTCATAGAAGCAGCAGTCAAGAAATCAAATATTGAATTGCAATAGGCAAATCTGTTGCAAAAGACCCCTCTAAAGTGTTCAAGAGCAAAGAGATCAGTTTGAGGACTGAGGTGTGCGTGACCCAAGCAGTGGTACTTTCAATAACATCATATGCATGTGAAAGTTGGGCAGTGAATTAGGAAGACCATAGAAAAATTGATGTACTTAAATTATGGTGTTAGAGAAGAATATTAAAAGTGCCA